TAGCCTGAAGAGTGCTGCATTCCCTATATAATTGTTCGACTGTTTTTCCTTCGCCCTGAACTCATATTTCAAGAGTAGTTTTTTGAAATCTGGAAATTTTATGGACAATACGACTTACTCTGGGCTATAGCTTGGTGCAATTTGAACATAGATTGCTACGAAAACCTGTAGAAATGTGCAACAGAAAAAATGTTCACTTGCAAATATCCTTACAAAACTTCTTGAAACTGAATGAATATTACATAGATAGATGCTTCCCGCATTGCTCTATCTAATGGCGGAAATCCGACTTCGATAGCTAGGAACCATCGAAAGTTATTGAAAAAATGGTGGATGGCAGTTTTAAAAAAATCCGACATTAGACAATGGAGTTTAATATCTAAGATTCGATCATTTTTTGTTTTCCTTTTTTCTGAATGAATGTCTTTTTCTATTTTATATGTGATGGAAAGTGCCACAGCGATTACATCCGCATAGAAATAGATAATCGAAAAAAAAGAAACATTCGTCTGTCGCCGCTTCAAGCAGACTAGACTGAATTCAAATTGAAATAAGAAATATGATTGATATTATCACGTAGAAACACCGATCACATTCTTTAATTGACTTTCGATTCGTCTAGTCTGTTTGAGGCCTATATATCAATGTTATATTTTTTTCATTCAACAAAAAGGTCAATCTATTTTTTTTCTCCAATAAGAATGTTTATGAACAAAGAATCAATAGATATGTATATATATATATATATATATATATTGTCTTGACATGAGCATTACAACAAACACATTTAAAGATGAATCAACATAATGTTCATCTTCTTGATCTTCCAAATGAAATATTATTCATGATTTTGAAAAAACTTGAGAATATTGATGTTCTTTATTCTTTATTGGGTACCAACAATCAACGACTTGAAATTATAGAACAAGAACAAATCTTCACTAACATTCTTAATTTTATTTCCATATCGCAATCAACTGATGAGATTTCTTCAATTTCTGGTTCAATACTCGATCAATTTTGTATTGATATATTACCAAGAATTCATAAAAATGTCAAATCGCTCATTGTTGAATCTGTTTCTATGGAATGTATTCTTGACGCTGGTATCTATCCTAATCTTACTGAACTTAAAATTTTTAATTTCAACAAAGCAATTGTTTCACGTTATTTCATTGGTAAGATATTCATGTGTACTGATCTTTTAAAAGATTAGCATAGAAAAATATTTAGATGCTCATATTAAAAATATATATATTTTGTTTAGACGATTCTCTCTTTGGACATATTTTTAAACAACAAATTACAGATCTTGTTCTTGTCAGTAATGATAACAATATTGAAATAACACAAAAAGAGTATACCAAGGATGTTTATGCAATTATCTTTACTTTCTTTGAAAATCTAAAGCATTTGAGTATTGTTTCAGCATCTATTAACGATTATCCACCTTTATCGTTATATATTTCACCACCACTGACTTTTTCCTCTTCAACACTTACCAAATTATGTATCAATGTTCATGCTTTTGATGATTGTCTTGCTTTACTTGATGGTCGTTTCAAACAATTAACTACGTTCATTGTTCAAGTTAATTTTATTTACCATCAGATGTTAAGATCTCACAAAATGGTGAGTTTATACTCTGTATTATTATTAATATCGATGATAAAATACAGTTAGAAGTACAATAAATATAATGAGATTTGTGGATTAGTAAATATGATATTTTAATTTTTGATTATTAGGACATATATAGAATAGATTGTTATGCTTATGTTGATGTTATTCGAGATTATTTCATAAATAATCAACATTCATTTGAAAGTGGTTAATCAATTTTTGTAGTTATTAAATGGCTCGATAGAAAATATTTTTTATTAACCCTTTGGTTACCGACATAAGAACGAAAAAAAACAACTTTTGAGAAAATTCGTTATAACTATTTATGGTATAACTCTAGTGTGGACTATAACAAAATGATGATATAAAAGTTCCTACTGCCTGACATTTGCTTTTATGGGAATATATATAAAAAAATGCATTATGAGCGATTGCATTAGTTTCCCACAATGGTAAAGCTCATGATACATATATGCGTCCTCGGTAACCAAAGGGTTAATTATGTTGGATTTATACATCTATGTTAAAAGAAATTAAACATAGAGTTGCTTCTACAATAAGCACTTTAATAAATTTAGTGTTCCTTTAAGGTTCATTTAATTTTACTGTTGAAGATGAGCATACTTACTTAAAAGAACTATTAGTTTTTCTTTACAAATAATTTTTCTTGTAAGATCTATATAATGAATCATATTGAATATTTTGAAACGTGTTAAGAAAATTCATTCTTATATAGAATTTGATGATTTTGTCGAATTGTTCATTTGTTCCTATATGCATCTGAACTTAACGAATATAAAGTAATCATTATTACTTGATAATACATATATTTCATAGAATTCGAGAACTATTTAAAAACCGAATTTGGAAAATGAATAATATCTATCGATTAATGGTTGATGTGAATTTATTTCTTCGTTGAATTGATAAAGATAAATTTATAAATATTTACTTTCTATTTTTCAGGATGATCTATCTACTTTAAAATGTTTCTCATTAATATGTTATGATAGTACTGAAGGATATAACAATTTAATTCTACCACTTCTTCGTCGAATGTCATATCTTGAAGAATTAA